AGGAAGACTGAACAGAACATTTTTCCCATCTGTTTTCTCATCTTAAGGTGAAGATGGTAGGGAGTCTCCTCCTACTGTAGATCAGACAATAAATATCCAGTACTGTCTGGTTTTGGACTAGAGTTAACCCACTGAGTATGGTCTGAGATGCCCAGCTATTCTGCACCATGGAACACATATATCTATATATCGAACAAATTAATCAGCTGGGGAACCCCCATCCTACCATCTCCTGCAGGTTGGTTCCCAGGATATCTCATTTTGGAAAGAAGCTGGACCAGCTAACATATCTACAATCAAGGATGTGCCCAATTTAGTGACACATACTTTCACGATGGATGAAGAGTATACCTTGTTCAGATGTGGTGTGATATCCCTTGAGTGGGAACATTTAACAAGAGAAGTCACACACCAGGGGTGTTCTTTGGATGCTTTTCGAAGGGTGCTCATCTAGGTAAATTTTGCACTAGTCCCTCCACCAGGTCAATGTGGGATTCTAGCTATTATGTGAGAAGAGTTAAGATATCATATCAGAAGTTAATATTTTCCTACACTGAAAATATATTTCTGATAGATACCACTTCCCACCATTCCTTCCCACTTCTTTTCTTCATAATCTCGAAGTGAAGATTGGGCCCTACAGTAAAGAGGGAGTCAGCTGTGACAGGAAAGTGTGTTGCTCTCCTGTTGGTGGAAGGTTGTTGCATGCTTATTTGCATGTTCCAATGCAGCTGAATCATGTTCAAACATGGGGTAGGTGGGAGTTCCAATGCTAGTGGCAAGTGAAAAATATTTTTTGCATATAGAGGCCAGCACTGAACGAGAAAAGTTATTATGTGAGAGGAAGTAAGTATCTATCGAAAATATATTTTCAGTGTAGGAAAATATTAACTTCTCAGCTCTCCAGATATTTAATGTACCATTATAACTGTAACATGTAACCTACATAAATCCCTTTGAAAAACTTTTACAACATGTTCTGTACCATTTTTGGGATGTTTCATCACCAGTAGGATGATAATTAATTTCTTAGACGTTTTCAGACATAAGTTTACATACATGCTTCATCCGCTCTGATAACGTACTTTCATTTGTCACATGCCAGATACTTCTCATAAGTATTTCAGTAGTTAATCTCTTGTTTGCTGTGTTTTTTGGGAACACAGCTCTGATGCTGCTTTTGTAAACCTAACTTCTTGTTAGTTATTTTGTTTACATCTTTATGGAAGATTTCTACTTTAATTGCAATATAATTCTGTGTTTTTGGGTTACTTCTGGTGACGCCTTAGTTTTCTCATTGCAATTAAACCTTCCCTTGTTTATAATATGGTTTAACTCTTCAGATATCCCCTTTCTTTGAAACTTAATGCTTCGTGCCCTTTTATGAACACAGAATAGGAAAACTTTTGTATTAATGAACACTCTCAGAAAAACTCAATTTTAGATGCCATCTATGCCTACTAGTCACCATATTTAACTGAATTGCAACAAGTTGGTCAGGGCTTTTAACCTGTGCAGTCACAGGCTATAGGAATTTCAAGTGTTTGGATATGCATATTTTTTCCATAGATTATGAATATCCTTCAATATTCACTGTAAGAGCTCAAAATGACATGTACCAGTTGAGGACTTTATTATTCTGAAGTTGTTGTTGGTTTTTATTTGAAACTTATATTTTGCTGTTTTAAACGTTGATGGATGGATAATATCTTGGGTTATGATTGCAAACCTTTTTATTTTATATATTTTATGATAGGGTAATGCTTTGTATCATAGTAGTAATGTTCTTAAATCATATTCACCAATGAAGCTAGCATGTTTGGCCTATAATTGTTTTCGAAGTTGGCTGAAAGTATGGGTTAAATTTGTAGCTCTTTCTCAGCAACAATAGTTTCAGATATGTTAGTTACAGATATCCTGACATGTTATGAACAATTTTGGTATTTATCTTGTTGGACTACTAAATAAAGTATTTCAAAATGTATATTTTTGGAAAGTTTAACTTAAACTTGGCTAGACTGATTCCATTCATTTAATAAAAAATGTCATTAATTTGTAGGTTTCTTAAGAGGAAAAAAGTTGATATTTCCACACAAACCTTTGATAACAATATAAACAAAAAATAATTGATAAGAGGAAAGTATAAACATGAAGTTTTAACTGAAGAAGAAAAATTACACTTAAAATTGGTGACTTCCTGTTGTTGAATTTAAACTAGTTTGTCTAATTTATCTCAATACTAGTTTTATTTTCAAGTTTTTAAGAAAACAACATCTATTTTTATTGTGTTGACCAAATGAATCAATTTTTCTGAATATATTGTCTAAAGAAAACTTTTTGGTCTGACATTATGCTATTCTTATTTTGCACAGAATGCCAGTGTAATGGCCACAGTACTTGTATTAATGGAAGTGCTGTGTGTAAACAACCATGTCAACACCTGACTGAAGGTCAGTAAAGCTTTTTTCTCCAGTTTTTGGAAGTTGTACATAGATTTTTATCGCCAGGTTAAATGAAAAAAATATTGATATAACATGTTTTGGGGTTTTTCTGAAACGTTAAAAAAATGCATTTCAGGAAGCTTTTACACTTTATTTACTGTTGTTGTTTTTCTGTAGACTATAAGAGTAATTAAAAGTATTTCCACTAAATCTATATACACGTGTATAAACCTTTTTCTGCAAATTAAGATTGTTTTTCTTTTGAATAAATACAAATTTCATAGAAATATTTGAATAAAAATGATTATTATTCAGATAGCAGTATGTCAGCATTAATTTAAAAGATGAGTCAAGAGGGTTTTATTGAAACATACATTTTAGCTTTGTTTTTTGATGGGCATTGAATGCAACATGACTTGGATGTTTTGAAATTTCTCAAAATTTTAAAAAATCCAAAATACTGACTAGCCTATGGTATACATTCATCTTTAGTAAGCCAGTTGGCTCTAGTGGTAAAATCAATTTAAAATATTAATGTGAATTAAAGACAGCCTCCTTAACTTATGTGTATTTATAACTTTTATTCATACTTTGTTTATTCAAATTTAAGATTTTCATTTATATAATCCCAAGAGAAAATACCTAAACTATTTTAATTAAGTATGATGATGTAGTGTATTGATTTTGAAAAATGGATTTCAAATGTCATTTTGTTATTGGTACTATTAACCCTGAGCGAAAGCTGCTGGCCTTCAATCTAAAATCCTGACTTGCCCATCAGATGGTGACAGTGTCCAATAACAGTTATATCTGTTTGACTGAAAACTAATCCAAACCGTGTTATTATCCACCTTTTATAAATAGATCGGAAGTTCTGTGAAGCGTTGCTCTTTGTTTTGAAACAAATTTCAGATCCACAGCAGAACAAGCAAAAAAATTATGGGTTTAAAGAGTTAAATCAGACATATTCATTTTTTTATATCAAAACTCGTGTAACACATTCTGAAACGATCAATTTTATTCAAACTTTAGGTTTTTTTTTACTACATTTGAAAAAACCTTATGAATACTGTAGCATACTATTTGCATTGTTTTAAAATACTGTTTTCTCTTTTATTTCCAGGAAAACAGTGTGAGCGTTGTATTGATGGTTATTATGGAAATCCAGTGAATGGAAGAAATTGTGCACAATGCTTTTGTAATGGCCATGGGGTAATGTGCCATCACAAAACAGGACATTGTTACTGTACCACAAAAGGAATAATTGGTCATAACTGTAGCAGGTATTCATTTTTGTAATTTACAGGTTTGTGCAAGTTTTTTAAACCTATTAAAGTACATGAAATTGACTTTTGTTGAATCAAGTAGGAAACGAACTTAAAAGTGAGCCTGTGAAATTTTATAATCATAAGAAATACTGTTTAATAGTAAAATTAATTTGTTTTTATTAATAAAAAGAAAAGTGAAGGTACTCATAAACTAAATGAGCACAAAATTTGGTATCTAAAACTACCTTCATGTATCCCAATATTTTAGGTATTTTTACAATAAACTTAGAGGTTTGTTGTGTAATAAACATTTTAAATAGTGATTATGTGTGAGGTAAAATGAATGAAAAAAAAAGTGATTATATGATCTTCTTGATCAAAGCTTTAAATTAAAATGTGGTAAGAAATGTTCAACAATATATTTATAAAAGGATGATACTTGTATTTATTTTTTTATTTTAGTTGTGATGAAATTAAACATTATCTTGGAAATCCAGAAGATGGGGGAACTTGTTTCTGTGAGTTTTGTTTTGTGTTTCAATAATAATAAGAAACTTAGCAATCGATGGTTCGAAGGAAAACGAAGTTTGATTATAAACAAGATTATGACTCTTATGATATACAAAATTGTTTTTTTGACAAAAAGGGGGACATGGATAAATGTTTCGGAATTCTATCAGATTCCATCTTCAGTATCTAAAGCAGAATAAAATGAATTT